CATTACGTTTTTAACACATTATAAACACTATACAAATTAACCTGAATATTGCAAAGGTTATATATATTATACTTTTTTATAGAACATATGGGATAGGGTAGAGTAATTAATGTGAAAGTCAAGATTGCAAGTGACGAAGGGACGAGACATCAATCGTGGAAACTGAAATTGCAAAAATATTAGAAGTGGATCATCGATTGGCGCTCTTTGAAGACGAATATGGGGAAAGGTGTGTGTGTGTATGTGTGTATGTATGTATATATGTATGTTTGTATGTATGTATATGTGTCTGTATGTATGAGGGGACACCACCAAAAGCTATAATGATTTCAGTAGAGGAACATCACCGCGGGAGTGTTTCTAACTGATAAATACACACTTATTAGTATTGGGGACTAAGAGAGGCTGAACCAAGGCTATCTTACGACCTGCCTGGCACTTAATTACCTCATAGATAAACTAGTGAGGGATCTTGACTACAGGAAGGTTGATAGCAGTTGGACCCGAAGAAAGATGAAAAACTCAGAGCCGTAAACGAGAAAGCTGACAGCATTCGACTGATTCGGCTGACAGATGAAGTTTTGAATTCGACTGACAGATGAAGTTTTGAATTCGACTGACAGACGCACTTCTTACTGATCCAGCTGATAGATGGATTGGTCACATGTTGTAAAGGAGAGGATTGAGAAGAGGAGAGAAGATTTAGATATGTTATTAGAAGCAAATTGTGGGGGGGATGAGAGAAGGTAGGTGTTTGTGAGGTGTTTGTGAGAGAAGGTAGGTGTTTGTGAGGTGTTTGTGAGAGATGGTAGGTGTTTGTGAGGTGTTTGTGAGAGAAGGTAGGTGTTTCTGAGGTGTTTGTGAGAGATGGTAGGTGTTTCTGAGGTGTTTGTGAGAGATGGTAGGTGTTTGTGAGGTGTTTGTGAGAGAAGGTAGGTGTTTCTGGGGTGTTTGTGAGAGAAGGTAGGTGTTTGTGAGGTGTTTGTGAGAGAAGGTAGGTGTTTCTGGGGTGTTTGTGAGAGAAGGTAGGTGTTTGTGAGGTGTTTGTGAGAGATGGTAGGTGTTTCTGAGGTGTTTGTGAGAGAAGGTCATTTATTTCTTTGCTTCCTAGTTGAAATATTCTAACCTAACCTAACCTAACCTGACCGAAACCCACGTCTTGAGGAAATATTTACCGACTCTTCCCAAAGCGACTGAGAGCAGAGAGGTCAAGTATCGGTGTTATAGGGAAGTTTATAATCAAGTGAATCTGCTAAGTTCGGCTGACGACCTAAACAGACAACATCAATCAGTCAAGTATCTGTTAATTTATGTCAGGACCAAGTGTGTGTTTTTGGTGGATCCATTTCGTTATGTTTTTTTTATTTATTTATTTTTTTTTTTTTTTAAGAGAAGTGGTGAACTTTGTCTCCCTGTCCGTAATGCGTCCTTCGTGCAGATCTCAAGAGCTGCCTACGCATACTTAAGACCTGCATTCATTAAATATTAAGTAGAAATAAGGAGAAGGGAAGAGAATAAACACGGAATATATTATTATCCTCATCACCTTACTTCAACGTCAGCTGGTTTGAGAGAGTTAAAAAAAAGGACAATTGAATTTTAAGTTTAGCCAAATCAACACGGTGACCACACGAGGGTTTATGGTTAAATAATTTTTCCCTCCTCTCCTCTTCCTTTTCCCCTCCCCTTCCTACCTCCCTCTTTCCCCCCCCTCCTCCTCCCTTCCCTTCCTACCTACCTCTTTCCCCCCCTTCCACCCTTCCACCCCCCGATGGCTAATAGGAAATGAACTATCCAGGAAACCAAATCTCTTCCAATTATATTCTAAAATCATTTCTAATTTCCCCGGCACCACCACCACAAGTCCTCAGTGGTTCGAGTGGCAGTAGACAAAGTAGGGATTGATCGGTGGTGCAGCCTAGAAGAGATAGATCCGTGAAGCATGATATATACAAAAGGATGTCTTCATGTTGTGTGTGTGTGTTAAACCTGGATGTTGTGACCAGCTGGGAAGAGCCAACGAAGAGAGAGAGAGAGAGAGAGAGAGTGACGAGGAGGAGGAAGAGAGAGAGAGAGAGAGAAGAGAACAGGATAGATAGCAAAACAGGAGGAACTTGTGTCAATATGGAGACGCTATATACACCTGTCATTTTGTTTGATGATGGACGGGGACGTAGAGACGGGAATAAGACAGTGATATCGACTCGGTTGTTATACTTCAAGGTCTGTGTTACACTCTGTTGGTATACTTGCCATTATTCCAACCAATAAGAAAGTACTTTTGAGTTGTTTTAAGCCAATGAGTATTCTGGTTTATTCTGCTAATTATAACCACGTGTTTGGTAAGCAGAGAGACAGACAGACAGATAGACAGAGAGACAGACAGACAGACAGAGATCACTTGTCAACACACAGCAGCTGACTCGCTTCCAAGATACAGTTTATGTAATTGATTTTATATTTTGGTGTTAGAAATTCAGTATGTACCAAAGGAAATACATTTTATTTATTAATTCTAGTGATTTTAGATTTTTTTTTTTCTAGATCAATTATTTATTGGACATAAGAAGTTTTTTACGAGTCGGAACTAACAATTCTCTCTTTCACAATACGGATATAGACAGTAGTTTATTATTTCAGTGTTCCATAAACATTGTTACTTAAAATGTTAATTGAGAATGATGATCTACCATTCTACTAATTATAACGTAACCAAACCCGACCCAACCCGACCCGACCCACGTCACTCGTCCCCAACACACCTGGACAACTGAGGTAAAATGTGAACTTGTCTGGGCCTTGACAACACGATTCAGATCTCATTATTTTTTTGTGTGATTTAAATTGAATTAATTATCATTTATAGATTTCATTTAGTGTGTAGTCTTGTGTGGGGGTGTATGGTGGGGGGTGAGTGTGGGGGGGCTGTGTGGGGTATGTCTATCAACCTCTCGTTTGATCTTCCTTAAGGGGGGGGCGGGCGGGTGGGTGGGGGGGAATCCAATCTCCCCAATGATGTTAAACAAGCGATTATGTGTTTCTCTATGGCCTCGTATGCAAATATTTCCCAATGCTTAAGGATCCTTTTCCATATTCCTCCTTTCGTATTTTCCCTCCACCATCCTTCCTTCCTTCCCTCCTTTCGTTCCTTCTTCTTTACTCTCTCTCCCTTCCTCCTTTCTTCCCTTCCTCATCTCTCTTTATTTTCCCTTTCTCCCTCCTTCCCCTCCTCCTTTCCTTCCCTCCTTCCTTCCCCCCTCCTCCCTCCATCACATTCTCTCTCAATCTTCTCCTACCCCATAACCCATTCTTCTACCCTCCCCCTTCCACCTCCACCTCCCCCAGCAGAAGGAACTGGCTAGACAGTCACTCACATATAATTCTGGTCTGGTCTGGACGCCTGACAAAACCTGTTGGATGGCCGCTTCTTGAGACGAGCTGCCTGAGGGGCGAAATTGCCATCACAAGAACTCACACCTAAGGTGTACCTCTCACACGGCAGTCAGGAGTTGTTAGTTGTGGGGAGGGGGTTGTTAGTTGCGAGAGGGAGGGGAGGAGCAGGAGGGCGAGGGTTGTTTGTTAGTTGTGGGGACATCCTCCTCCTCCCCCATCCTCCCTCCTCCATCTAAAGACAGAAAGGATTGCGTCGTTTGAAAGATGAGAATATCATTTATCTACAAACCTCGTTATTCCTCATTTGTTATTCCTTATTTCCTATTCCCCGTTTGTATTATTCTGTGAGTGTGAGGTGATGTATTGTCTACCTGTTGTCACACATCTCATTAGTGGCGAGGTGTGTCTGGATTCACCTGAGTCACAACACCTGTAATCAACACACCTTCCTAATACACCTCGTCGACTGAGGTAACGTGAGCTTGTGGGCTCTTACCTTACCTAACTCAGTAAGATGGTGACTTTGGCACGGGTCCATATATTAGGGGTTGTATATCGTCCCATTCCCCCATTCCATATTCCTGCAGCCCTCCCCCCATTCCTCCATCCCTCCGTATCTATTTCTGACAGAACAAAGTAGAGAAGGGAGGGAGAGGTAGGAGGAGGAGAGGGGGTTAGGAGGAGGAGGAGGAGGTAGGAAGAGGAGGAGGCATTATGTATCGTGGATAAGATGGGTGGCTCTCTCTCTCTCTCTCTCTCTCTCTCTCTCTCTCTCTCTCTGTAGGATAAGTACAGCGTATATAGAGCTTTAACTTCTTCATTGTTGAGGGACTAGTACACTTGCCAATGCCCTGAAGGGTCTTAGTTGAAGTGTATTTATATCATTGTGGCGTCAACGGCGTCTTGAAACCCGTCCCTAAAACATAGAAAGGAAAGAGAGGAATCCTACCACGTCCTCAGGTATTACGCCGTTCATATAGGATGCCAAATGCTGACAGCCATCACAGTTTGAAAATGGGACATCTCTTGTAATATGTCAACAAGCTTCAGTAAAATAAAGCCTGTAGTTCCGGATAAGATGGTGTGGCACAGGGATTTTAAACGGTAAACTTCCTCGAGGCATATCGAAGTTTCAGCAAAATTTAACAAATAGTTTTTGAGAATTTGGTAAAATGAAATGTGTCCAGAGAGAGAGAGAGAGAAAGTTATTCAGACTACCAAGACACTGTACAGTTATCCATAAAAATACTGTCGCCTCTCCTCCTGAACCACGAACCCCGAGATTCATTAGACTTGTGAATCCGAAGCATTTATGGACAGAATAGTACATCACTGTTTAATGCTTCGGGGTTCACGGGTCTGTACCTCGGAGTTCGTGAAAATTTTGAGTCACTTGAAAATTAGACACCTGTCCTTACTTCACCTGGAGATTAACAACCGCAACGCTTCCTTGGGCAGGTCTCATTATTATTATTATTATTATTATTATTATTATTATTATTATTATTATTATTATTATTATTATTATTATTGTTTATTATTATTATTATTATTATTATTATTATTATTATTATTATTATTATTATTGTTGTTTCTGTCTTCGCCAGGGGTGGAGGCGCTTGGAGGTGGTAACAGCCGAGCCTGGCGTTCTTCCCGCTGTGGCCCTTCAGGTAAGTCTCTCTCTCAGGACTCCATGTGTGATGTTATGACATTTTTATCGAGATTCACAAACCGAAACTTTTCTTCTAGCGAGTAAACTTTAACCAAGGAACAACACTCCGTAATTTATTTTTTTCACTCCACCTGGCCTGAAATAACGTGATATATCCTCCCTCTCCTGGTCTTGCTCCCCTCCTCCTGCCTCCCTTGTCGAGCTCCCCCTAGTCCTTCCTCTCCCTTGGTCCTGCCTCCCCTGGTCCGGCCCCATTATACTGCCGACTTAGGCCATAGCTAAGAGGAGTGTATTGCAGGTTCAGACTGTGCGCCCCAGTTCGATTCCCTGCCGTTTCAGCCCTCAGCAGTGGACTTTGGCACCCCTGCTGTCATCTCCATGGCTGATGTTGAGAGTAAGTGTTGCCAACATTTTCGTTATAACATAAGTGTATTTACCAACAACATAGTATAAAAATATTTGGTTGCCTTTGTAAGTTAGTTTATTGTACTAATTTGTTTAACTTCGTTGATTTTGATCCAGTTCAGTATATAACAGGCGACCAGTAAACGCCTAATATTTGATAAATTTGTTCCTAACTGTATCATCGTTTATTTCGCGTAATCACCCTATTTACATGTGGTAATTGTTTCTTATTCCAGGATGGTTGTCACAAAACGGATACCATCGCCTGATTCTCCCAGAGTATTCGAGTTTTCCCTGGCAAACGAAAAATGGACCAACCAACAACGGCGCCGCCTCCAACCGCAACATAGAAAATGAACTTTACCAGAGTAACTATGGTACCGGGGTGATGGGTGACCTCCGGGCTACCATGAACAAGAGAGATAAAGAGATTGATTTCCCCGTCATGGTTCCTAGGTCTCTTAGTGACATCAGGAAGAATTGCTGCGTAAGGGAATGTACAGCAGAGGATTTCTACGGAGCTTGTTCCTAATTTTTTCCCGCGTTGGAGAAAATAAATAAATATAAATATATTTATCAAGACACAAGCACGTCCCAAATGATCTTCAGGTTAATCCCTAAATACGAATATTTTATTGATATATATAAATAATATTCACAAGATTCTAACATCACCATTCTCTATATTATTTTATTATTTACAAGATCAACTCATGACTTCACTAATTCTGTGATCTATTTTTAAGCCAAAATAAAATAAATCAAATATATATTCGTATAATTATAAAAAAAGAGTTCCTGATTTTCGTCTCCATCCCCCCTCCCTCCTACCCGACCCCACCCACCTCCCCTACCCCACCTCCCTACCCTATCCCACCCCACCTCCCCTACCCTATCCCACCCGACCCTCCTCCTCGGCGTAGCGTCACTCATGAGCACACCCGCCTAACCCAATACCTTGTTTATCCAGAGTTCTATTTAACCCCTGCTAGCCATTAATCCTGTTTTAACCCATGCTGACCGTTAATCCTGCTTTAATCCCTGCTAACTATTCATCTTGTTTATTTTGATTTTCATCTTTTTCGTAATTATCTTAAATCCAAGTTTTTCTAAACCTTGATTTGTATTTTTCTTTTGTTTATTTTCTTGTTTAATTATCTTTGGGTCTTGATTATTTTGAGGGTGAATTATTCTCGTTGCTTTAATTATCCGGTCTTGATTATCCTCAGTCTTGATTATCCTCAGTCTTGATTATCCACAGCCTTGATTATCCACAGCCTTGATTATCCACAGCCTTGATTATCCTCAGCCTTGATTATCCTCAACCTTAATTATCCCCAGATTATCCTTGATTATTCACAGCCTTGATTATCCTCAGTCTTGATTATCCTCCTTGTCAGCCTTGATTATCCTCAGTCTTGATTATCCTCAGTCTTGATTATCCACAGCTTTGATTATCCACAGCCTTGATTATCCACAGTCTTGATTATCCACAGCTTTGATTATCCACAGCCTTGATTATCCTCAGCCTTGATTATCCACAGCCTTGATTATCCTCAGCCTTGATTATCCTCAGTCTTGATTATCCACAGCTTGATTATCCACAGCCTTGATTATCCTCAACCTTAATTATCCTCAGTCTTGATTATCCACAGCCTTGATTATCCTCAGCCTTGATTATCCACAGCCTTGATTATCCTCAGCCTTGATTATCCACAGCCTTGATTATCCACAGCCTTGATTATCCACAGCCTTGATTATCCACAGCCTTGATTTTCCTCAGTCTTGAATATCCTCAACCTTAATTATCCTCAGTCTTGATTATCCACAGCCTTGATTATCCTCAGCCTTGATTTTCCTCAGCCTTGATTATTCTCAGTCTTGATTATCCTCAACCTTAATTATCCTCAACCTTAATTATCCCTGCGGTCATTGGTTATTTAACACTTTGATTACCCAGGGACTTGACCTCTAATGACCTCTTCTATAAACAAACCTGACCCACCATACCGTGACCTTGCCTGTGACCTGACCTTATAAACACTGTAGATTGTCACCTGTTTCTTTATGATGGAGTCTATGGTGACGAAATGATTTATCTATACATATTGACATACAAACAAACATTGAGTCATTCGATAGTTTTGTGATTCTTATAAATGATGTATCGTTTGTTATAGTATATTTATCTCTTTTGACATTGATACAAGATATTTTGAAGAGGTAATTAGGTCAATGATCGTAGAAAATGGCCGCCGTGTTTACATATTGAAAGACACAAAATGGCCGCCGTGTTTACATATTGAAAGACTTGAGTACTGAAATGTGAATCACTTTGGCCTTAGATGTTTCAACCAAGAATGTTTTTGTTTTAAAGCTTATTTATCCCTTAACCAAGTGACATCTTATCCTGACAAATCATATTCCAGGGTGCAAAATCTATTGCCGAAACCTGTAGGTAGAGATGCACTTACCTGTCCATTAATCCACGCACATACCTGTTGGGCTCTCATAATACACCTGTTCTGTCTCGTCTTCCTCTTCTTCCTCTCTTTCCTCTCCTCTTCCTCTCATCTTCTTCCCCTTCCATCATTGACATTTATTCTCAGAGGCTGGTGTACATAATCTATTGTAACTCTATTTATGTGTTGAGAATAAGTATGTCATATATTTTATTCGTCACACTCATGAGTCGAAGACGGAAGGAGTAAAAGTTTCACTGTGCTTTCTGAACGTATCATTTCAACAACCTATGTACCAACACTGATGTGTTTTTAGTAAGCACAGTCAGTGGTTAAGTATTACCTTCACGTGTAAAGAGATGATTGGTTTACCATTTAACACCATCTATCACATATTACACCATCTATGATAGGTTGGTGTTGGCAGAATCAGAGGCACATCATCTGCTGGTGTTCTTAACCTGCCAAGGCTTGTCCCTCTGACACATACCAGTAAATATGTGACCTAACGTAACAACCATGAACACGTAACAACCATGAACACGTAACAACCATGAACACGTAACAACCATTAACACATAACAACCATTAACACATAACCATTAACACGTAACAACCATTAACACGTAACAACCATTAGCACGTAACAACCATTAACACGAAACAACCATTAACACGTAACAACCATTAACACATAACAACCATTGACACGTCACAACCATTAACACTAACTTTCGATATTCTTCCCTATTTTTTCTCTACCATTTCATAACAATCGGGAACTAAAAGAAATAGCACTGTGAAAGATATTTAACTGACCCTATCACCAATCACAAGCACTAGGAAAGAAAGTGTTCTTCTTAAACTTTCACGAAATAATTAGAAAGGAGTTTGTTTTTACTATTACTGATATATACTGATAGCGTTTACGGTTCATGATAATTCTGTCAATAACAATCAAGGAAATTGGTCAAGTTTATGGTAAATAACAACGTAATTGATGAGAATATTGTTCAGTTTATACCTAATACCTGCTACCACCATCACCAACACTTGCAACCCACCAGTACTTCTTACCACCACTACCAGTACCCCCCCCGACCACTACCAGTAGCTACCGCCACTACCACCAGTACCTCCTACCACCACCAGTACCTCCTACCACCACCAGTACCACCCACCATAAAAACAGCTGATCCACCAAAACACAACCAAAACAGCTTACAAAATACCAACTTATTCACTCTAATAAATTGAACCACAGAAACGATAACTGAGACAACACAAAGATAAATATATATACCTGACAGCATAAGATTATTGATAAATCATTAACGTCTCAGGTGAAGTCATACTTAAATCATACTTGTTCCCATATACAGAATAACTAGTAAATATGAACAATAACAAGTGCAGTATAATCCCAGTATCGCCATGTTAAGAGATCTGTCCTGCCAGTGTGTGGTTTTGGAATGAGATCTTGGGGTCATGCTCAGAACTACTGGTTTGTCTTGTAATAAAAGCTGAATTGGTGAAGGAATTCTTTTATTTGCCTATTTATTACCTAAACTAATCTCATCTAACTTAACCTAATCTAACTTATTCTATCCTAACCTTAATTAAACTAACTAATTTAACCTAACGTAACTTACCCTAACCGAAATTAACCTAACCTAACTTAACCTATCCTACCCTAAATTAGCTTAAACCTAATCTAATCTAACAACATAACCTAATCTAACCTAACCTAACCCACCAGGTAGAGCTAGGGTGGTTAATCATCAGGTGAAATAGGCTATCTTATGGCCAATGTTCAGGTGAGATAATTAACACAGGTAAATCCTCTGTCAATTCAATCTTCGATCTTCTAAATAATGTATTCTATCATTCGCCATTTCAACACTGTATTTCTAACACATATTGTCAACCAAGTTATGGCAGATAGAGAGTATAGCCTATAGTCGGGTAACGTGTCTGCAGATGGTGTTATTTACCGTGTTGTTTGTACTACTTTTGGGACGTAGATGACAGAGATTTGTGGTAAAAAACATAGATAAGAAGCGCGTGTTTATTATAAATGGTCTGATGAGCGTTGGTAGTTGTTTTCACCGGGTCGACACGAGTATATTCTGGCCAATTATTTAAATTTTGGTAAATTAGTTTATATAAGTCAATTAAAAATAGATCATCATTTACATTATAACTATTAATTATAAGTAGTAGCATTGAGTTGTCCGTGTAGACCTTAAACTAATGATTTACTTTAGAGATACGTGTCGAACGGTGATTGGTTCTTGCACTTTTGGTCAGTAACGTAGCCCTGTGGTCAGCGAGACTGAGACCAGAGTTGAACACACACACCGAGCCGACCAGCAACATACCGTTAAAATAGACTTAAAGCTCAACGTAACTAGACTGGATGGAGCCTTCAGATAAACTTCACTAACGATTCTGAACTCAATCCTACGAGATAAAGCTAAGTATCTGATAGTCTGCAGTGGAGAACAGTAGGCCTAGGGTGTCGTGGGAGGTGAGTTCCCATTGTTAGATTATTGAAACGTGTGTGTTTATTTCATCACTGACCCTGTATGTATGTAGTCTGTGCGTTTTATCGATAATCTTTCATAACTAAAGTAAATACATTCATGTTTTCGAATAGGAATAACGTTTATAACCACGAAATAGTTAACCTTTATAAAACTCATAAGAAAATACTAATAAAAACTTTATATGCATTTATGTATCAAAATGTATCTCTAAAACTACAATAGGGAATTTAAATCATATCTAAAACTCAATATGTGGGAGTTTCAAGTAAAAAAGAAATATATGTAACAAAACGGAAGAATATATATTAAAACGTTGAAATGTATTGGGTAGGTGAGTGAACGAGAGTAAGGTCGAATTGTGAGGGCGGAGAGTGGAAGTGACAGCTCTCGTTGTGCCTTTGTTGTAGGGATCGTTGCATCCACCTTGAAACTGCTCATTCAACAAGACACACGCATACACACAGAGAAATACACACATACACACACACACACGCACACACACAGACCATTCCACTTGCCTCACTTTATATAAAAACTATCACAGGATTCGGTATCTCGTTTTGTTTCGTTATATTATGGAACAATTTTTTTTCTTAAGTTCTTGTCCGTTTCTGTGTCGTGTTGCTGAACTTAATAAAGGCAGAGGAATAGTGGATTATTTTGTCTGATTCACCGTAGTGTAGGTTAGGAGGTCAGGTGTAGTGCAGTGTAGGTTAATAGGTCAGTTTAGTACAGTGTAGGTCAGTGTAGTGTAGTGTTGGTAAACAAAAGTGACAAAATCGGAAAGTTTATTAAAAGCAAATGGGTTTAATTTCCGTTAGATTATGTTTAAGGGTCAGGTAAAATAAACTGGGTTACATAAGAACATAAGAATGGAGGAAACTGCAGCGGGCCTATTGGCCCATACTGGGCAGTCCCATTTACACCCAACCCCTATTGCTCATATAAACATCCAACCTATGTTTGAAGCTATCCAGCCTATTCGAGTTAATGATGATATTTGGTAATTTGTTCCATTCATCCACTACTCTGTTTCCAAACCAGTGTTTACCTAATTCACGCCTAAATCTAAATTTGTCTAATTTAAAACTATTGTTACGAGTTTGCTCCTGGTTGGATAATTTGAGTACCTTTGTAATGTCCCCTTTGTTTAGCCATGACTTCCATTTATACACCTCTATCATGTCGCCCCTCGCTCTACGTCTCTCGACGGAGTGCAAATTAAGATGCTTTAACCTGTCTCTGTACTCAAGGTTCCTAATGTCCGGGATTAGTCTTTTCATTCTCCTCTGGATTCTTTCCAAGGATTCTATATCCATTTTGTAATACGGTGACCAGAACTGAACTGCGTAATCCAGGAGAGGTCTCCCAAGCGCAAGATATAATCTTAAGATGACCTCGCTAGTCTTGTAACTAACACTCCTTTGTATGAACCCAAGTACTTTATTAGCCTTATTACCAGCAAAAACACGTTGTTTACTTGGCTTAAGATTCCTACTTATCATTACTCCTAAATCTCTCTCGCAGTCGGATTTCATAATGGCATCGTTGTTCATCTGGTAACTGGTTTCCCTGTTTACATCTCCTATACTGAGTACTTTACATTTGTCCACATTGAATTTCATCAGCCATTTTTCAGACCATTCGAAAATTTTTTTTATATCTTCCTGTAGTTTTACGGAGTCCTCGTCAGATTTAATTACACGTCCTATTTTAGTGTCATCAGCAAATTTACTTATGCTGCTCTCTATGCCGATATCTATGTCGTTTATGTATATAATAAATAATAATGGTCCAACTACTGAGCCTTGGGGAACTCCACTAGTTACGTTACTCCAATGGGATTTAGTGCCGTTAATGCTCACTCGCTGTTTCCTGTCCTGGAACCACGCCCTAATCCATTTTAGAATATTACCTTTAATGCCATGTGCTTCTACCTTTCTCATTAGTCTTTCGTGGGGGACTCTGTCGAAGGCTTTGCTAAAGTCGAGATATACCACATCATAATTGTGCCCCTCGTCCACCCATTCAAAAACTGATTAAAAGAATTTTAATAGATTAGTTAGACATGAACGCCCGTTTGTGAAGCCATGCTGGGAATCATTGATCAATCTGTGCTTCTCCAGGTGATTTCGAATAGAGTTTGAAATGATTGCTTCCAGTAATTTGCCTACAATTGATTTTAGATTGATTGGACGGTTGTCTAATTAATCTTCAGGTGATGCGGAGAACGCTTTAAAATTTTATTAAACAAGGTAAATATTACCCCTTACTATTTACCATAAGTCATCCAACACCTACCTGACCGGAACTAGTTTTTTGGGCCACATTTCTGAGTCTCATCTGACTGGCGGAGTGATGGGGTCACAACACAGCCGGGAGTGGCGGAGGCTTACAGGGGCTCAGCGTCTGCCATAGACACACAACCCTCACGTCTCTCTCGTGGATTTACCAGACCAGCCTCACCCCTCCTCCCCCCATACCTTGTTATGTTGTGAGCTTCGATCAACCTCTCTATTTTCTTTGTATTGCTATAGGCTAATAAAGTACTTGGGTTCATACAAAGGTGTGTTAGTTACAAGACTAGCGAGGTCATCCTAAAACTGTATCTTGCTCTTGTGAGACCACACCTGGATTACGCAGTTCAGTTCTGGTCACCGTATTACAGAATGGATATAGAATCCTTGGAAAGAATTCAGAGGAGAATGACAAGACTAATCCCGGGCATTAGGAACCTTGAGTATAGAGACAGGTTAAAGCATCTTAATTTGCACTCCCTCGAGAGACGTAGAGCGAGGGGCGACCTGATAGAGGTGTATAAGTGGAAGGCAGGGCTAAACAAAGGGGACATTACAAAGGTACTCAAATTATCCAACCAGGAGCGAACTCGTAACAACGGTTTTAAATTAGACAAATTTATATTAAGGCGTGAAATAGGTAAACACTGGTTTGGAAACAGAGTAGTGGATGAATGGAACAAGTTACCAAATATCATCATTAACTCGAATACGCTGAATTGCTTCAAACATAGGTTGGATGCTCATATGAGCAATAGGGGTTGGGTGTAAACGGGACTGCCCAGTATGGGCCAATAGGCCCGCTGCAGTTTCCTCCATTCTTATGTTCTTATGTTCTTATATCTTTTGTTGTGTTTTCCCTCCATTCATCTTCTTCCTTCTTGTTTCTTCTTATCAATCTGTCATATCTTTCGCTGTGGGTAGAGTCAGGACGATCTCTTCCCACCTAAGCTGTATTTACATCATCTATCTTTATGTAACTAAAGGAACACCTGAACAACGACACATAACTCCTCCTTGACTTGTGTTCTGAACCCGACAGAACTTAATTAATTTACCAGCGGATATATTACCCACAATGATTACTTGAAATATCTTTAATTACACCTCGGCTAATTATCACAAAGCAGTAATCATTAACACATTATAGAAATCGTAACATATTGTAACTTGTTTGTTTATATCATGCGTGTACAGCTTCAGATCTGCTAGTACAATTTGGATTCTCGTTGTAGGGTCTTGTATCTAACCTAAGACGAGAAGAACACCGTGGGGTGGTTTAATTATAATGTTTCAACCACATAACCTCTTGGGATGGTTTAGGTAAGACGTTTCCAAAATAGGTCAAAACGTTAAAAAAAAAGAAAAAAGATATATCGTCCTGTGCAGGTTCTCTTGGTAACCTGCCCCTCAGCGTTCTGCACCACTCGTACTGGTTGCTGGGTTAGGTAGGAGCCCAGCCGCCATCAACACGTAGAAGAAAATAAATATTACGACGAGGGTGAGGAGAACGACCTGCGCTACCAAGTTACAGAAACGTGCCATTTCCTGGTTGGGTTTTTCCTGGTGTTGATGATGATGATGATGGCTGTGCTTTTGTTGACTCTCAGGCCGCTTAGAAAACAGAGGCTTTACCTAAGGGAAAAACAGATCTGTTGTTACTCTTATGTACAACAGAATATAAAATTACTGTCCAATAAATAGTTCATAATGCAAGTGTATAATTGTTAAGACTAGTTGCGTAAATACTCTATTAGAGGTTCCAATATTTATTATCAGGTTACGTCTAAAGTAATGATCAGTTTGTCTGTATATTTGTCCGTCCTATAATAGTTTTCACTCATAAAGAAAAAACTGTAGGTCTTTAATTTATGTCTGATGTGGAGCGTCATAGCAAATACAGAACGAATTTAATTTTTTTTTTTGGTTAATTATTATAGCGGTTATTGTTTCACTCTTTGATATATTACACTGGAAATATTAAATAACTAATAATAATAAAGTAAATGGCGAATTTACGTAATATATTAGCCAGAAATATATAAAAATTCACTTTACTCAAACCATCTACATTTGAACCTGTGGAGGATAAGATCGAGGGTTTGTTTACCTTGTTGCTTTGTCGTGCCCCAAACTCTCGCACCTTGATGATGGCGCTGGGGAGGCGGACACTGTGTAGCACCACGTTGATGAGTGTCTGGCTGATGATTATGAGGAAGCAGAAGGTAATAATGGCGGCGTACCATACATCAATGAGTTTTAGATACGGTGTCTTGACGGAGGACTGCGTGGTGGATGTGAACAAGGCGGCTAACACAAGCTGACCCGTAAGTGAGATCATAATGCGGTTGGTGAAGTCTTCAAGCTGACCAGGGACGATAATGAGAACGTGAATTACTTGTTATTGACTAAGAAGACAAACTATAGATACTTTAAAAGGTTCAGTTTATAACATTTGAGGGATTAAGACACTTTTCTCAATGGATCCAAGTCATTAAATGAATTATTGATGAATTAAGGTAAAATTGAACGCAGATGTGGTGATATTTTTGAAGAACTTGTCATCAAATACTCAAGAAAAAACCCAAATAAGACTATTAACAAAACGAAACATCTTATAAATTTAGAAATGAATACCATCAAAAATAAAAGAAAACGAGACATGAAATAACAATACAGGGGGAACTGAAGAAAAAAGAACACCTACCTGGAAAAAGAACGTAACGTAGGAGATAAAGAATATAAGGAGACTGGGGAAGAAGCTGTTCATCACGTGGTAACCGTAGAGACGACGCAGGTGATAGGTGAGAGAGAAGAAGGTGTTGTTATCAGAGCCCAGCATGTACCACCCCACCTCAGTTGTCTGATCTTCCAGCGAGTACTCCAGCAACACTCGCCGCTGGATGGTAGAGAGAGAGAAGGGAAATAGAGCATCTGATTTTGCTGTTTATCCTTGGTCGAATTGCTTTGTATACCCGCACTGTTCAGGTAATTTGATTATATACTCGCACTGTCTAGCTACATACGTTTTGCCCACGGTGCCCACCGTTTCTCTGTGGATGTCGGTCACACGAGAATAACCCGTTATAGTACCTCCTTCTTTCCTCACACAACCTAACTGTGGCATGCTCTGCCTTCTTCTGTGTTTCCACACTTATACAATCTGTCTCACTTCAAAAAGCTGGTCTTCCGGAATCTTCGTGGTGTAGATTAACACAGTATAACGCTTTTCTTCTCTATTTTAATGTTTTTTTCTGTTCTTTTTTTTCGCCCCAGGCCCCGTTGTGGGTCGTTTGACCTGTGTCCGGGTGGTCTAATTCCCGTAAAAAAAAAAAAAATCTATATATCTATATATATATATATATATAAATATATAAATATATGATAAAATTGTTCCCAAGTCCTGTCTTCCAAGTAGACTAAGAAATCTGGACAATCAAGCATTCTCTGAGTTGGATAAGGTGTTGCTAGATTCCCTTATCAAGAGTTCAAGTGATAGTGTGAAATTAGCCTTCAAGCACAGTGCTCAGTGTAAAATACTTATGCAAAACAGTGTTTGTGTTGATAAGTGGCACACCATTCGTGATTTTGTATATCAACTTCTTAGTGAAACTGACAAAGCCCAAAAAAGAAGGTTAAATGCCAAATTAAATGCTCTGTTTGACGAGAGTTACTGGACCATATTGAGTGATCCAAATTTGTTCATAAACTTATCATCTTATGATCTACAGACAAATGAGAAACTTGTTCTTGGTTTTGGTAGGAAGTTTTCTATCACTCAACGGTGCGTTAATCCGCTTACTATTGCTAAAGGTTTAATCAACCTGGAAAAGAAGAAGTCGTCTGATGTTACAAATGAAGATATTTCCATAGCTAAAGGTTGTATACATAGTGTTTTAAATAAGAAATTTGCTTCAAACATTCCAAAAAGATTTGAAACAGCCTTGATAAACTTGAAAAGAAATAAGAATATCCATATTACCAAGGCTGATAAGTCTAATGCTATTGTTATCTTGGATAAAAGTGACTACAATGATAAGATGAATTCATTACTTAGTGATGAAAGCACGTATTGTGAGCTTACGAAAGATCCCCTGGAAAATATTAATAAGTTATCTAATTCCAAAATGAAGATGTTATTGAAAAAGAACCCCGATCTCACTAAACAGCTCTCTCAAATCAATCCCACTTTACCTTATATGTATGGATTGATCAAAACACACAAGCTTAATAATCCATTCCGTCCTATCGTGAGTTCTGTGGGTTCTGTTACTTACAAATTATCCAAGTGGCTGGTAAAGATGATATCCCCTCTTACAGGCCAAATATCTAATTCACATATACGCAATAGCAGTGATTTAATTGATAAACTCAAGAAACACAACGAACCTTGCGAATTAATAAGTTTTGATGTAAATTCACTGTTCACTAGAGTACCTGTGAAAGACTTACTTTCATTTCTTAAAGATAAATTACAACTGCTAGATTTAACTATTGAACATGATACTTTCCTGAAATTGATAGAGTTATGCGTAACTGACAATGTGTTTAGAGCAAATGGGAAGTTCTACAAGCAAATATTTGGCATGAGCATGGGTAATTGTCTTTCTGCTCCTCTAGCCTGTATTTATATGGAGTTTTTTGAGTCTAGATTACTACCCAATGTAGTGGACTTTATTCCTCCTTGGTATAGATATGTAGATGATGTTCTTTGTCTTTGGCCTAAAAACAGTGACCCATTGAAATTTTTAGACAAGCTTAATAATATTGTCCCTAGTATCACATTCAAAATTGAAAGAGAAATAAGTGAATCCCTTCCATTTCTTGATATGCTTATCATGAGAAATGGCCAAAACTATAAATTTAAGGTATATAGAAAGCCCACACAGGTAGACAGTTTCATTCACTTTTTATCGAATCACCTTGAGTCTACCAAAATGTCAGTTTTTTCTGCTATGTTCCTAAGATGTCTGCGTATTTGTGACTCTGAATTTATTGACGATGAATTTAAACACATTCGTTCTATTGCACAGAAACTTGGGTACCCTTCTGTGTTTGTTGATCGTTGCTTTAAAAGGGCTAAAAAATCCTTTCATTCCTCTGTAACCAGACAAGTTCCTACACTTAAGAATATTTTGACTCTGCCCTATCGTGATGAATTTGTCCCTTTAGTTCGGTCCCTCAAGCTTCTAAATATTAATGTTGTTTTCAAGTATGACTCAACCATTACCAATATGTTAATAAGGAATAGCCCAAGTTTGAATGTAAATGGAAGTGTTTATTGTATTCCATGTAGCAAATGTAATTGTAATTATGTAGGTCAGACAGGAAAAACACTGCAGCTCAGAATCAAACAACATAAGTATAATATCAGAACTGCATCTGAAAGCAGTGCCTTGTTCGTTCATGTTAGGAATAATAATCACCCCATTGCTTGGGAAAAAAGCTTAGAAGTATTCAAATCATCTTGTGTCACAGAAAGACTTCTGGTTGAAGCTAGTTTGATTAAGGAATTAAAATCAATAAACCTTAGTGATGGTCAGTTCAAAACTGATAATATGTTACATAAATTTATTTGTCAGTGGCCCAAGGTTAAAAATGCTTTGAAAACCTTTGATCTTGATGTATGATAGTTATTTTGTGGGTCCCTTTTTTCTGACCTGACCTGTCTAGTCACGTCACCACCCTTCTCTTAAGCTCCTCTACGGTTGTGTTGGTGTGGGGATTAGTGGATGTCATCATTATGACCTGACCTCATGTTTTTAGGTCACCCTGTATATTTAAGCCTCTCTCTGTCCATGTAATCCAGTTGCCTCTGAAGATGTCTTGAATAAAGACGAAAGCTAAGGTACTCCGTTGTTTCCATTTTCCCGTGTGATTTTATCAAGATTTATCTTATCCACGTTTTCATTGTGGATTTACATGAAATATATATATATATATATATATATATATATATATATATATATATATATATATATATATATATATATATATATATATATATATATATATATATATATATATATATATATATATATATATATATATATATATATATATATATATATATAAAATATACATATATACATATATAAATATATATATATATATATATATATATATATATATATATATATATATATATATATATATATACCCGCACTGTCTAGCTACATTGTATACCTGCACTGTATATGTACTGTACACTGTATACCTGCGTTATGTTTCTATCTATCTCTAGGAGGGATAGGAAGAAAGCTCAACAGCAAGAGAAAAAGCGAAAGGTTACTTCTTGCCTAATGCACCAGCCTGAACTGATCAATAGAATACCTTAAGCCGTCTCAGAGGGAATTTACAATTGTCGGTGTTTGATTTTCGATATTACTTCCCATGAGCTGAGACAAAGCGAGAGAAGTTTATCTTAAAAGTCGACTGGGAATATTTTACGAACTAAATCTTGCTTTGAACCTTGTGTGACCTGACGTGACTTGACCTGACCTTGAACAACATAAAACAACGACTGTGGGGAGTTTTAAGATTCCTCCTCGTTTCTTATCCTAGGGGTAGATTAGGTAAGGTTAAGGCTAGTTAAGGTTAGTTTAGGTTTGGTTTAGGCTAGGAAAGGTTAACGTTAGGTTCGGTAAATTAAGGTTAGGTTAGATTAAGGTTAAGTGAGGTTAAGTTAAGGTTAGGTTATCGAAACACCCAAGCTGATACGTCCTCGACACCGCGAAATGGCAAATGAAATTCAACACCAGCAAGTGCAGCGTACTTAATATTGGAAGAACGAATACTGTCAATGTATACAGCCTTAACATCAACCTAGAGAAGTCGACTTGTGAAAGAGACTTAGGGGTATTTATAAGCCCGGACCTACGGCCTAGAAAACAGTGCGTTAATGTTCGAAATAAGGCAAACAGAGTATTAGGTTTTATATCTAGAAGTGTTAGTAATAATATTGCGGAGGTCTTATTGCAACTATATCTTGCGCTATTCAGGCCGCACCTCCATTATGCTGTTCAGTTCTGGTGCCCTTATCATAGAATGGCTATCAATTCTCTGGAGTCGGTGCAGCGAAGAATGACGAAAATGATTCCGGGACCTAGAAACCTTCCATATCAAGATAGATTAAAGAAACTAAACTTGTATTCCCTAGAAAGACGAAGAGTGCGGGGAGATATGATAGAAGTATTTAAGTGGGTGAAAGGAATCAATAAAGGGGATATAGATAAAGTTTTTATAATATCCGAGCAGGATAGGACTCGAAGCAACGGATTTAAGTTGGATAGGTTTAGGTTTAGGAGGGAGATAGGAAGGAAATGGTTCACAAATAGGGTGGTGGACGAGTGGAACAAGCTTAGCAACTTTGCAGTAAGTGCTGGAACGCTGGAAAGTTTTAAAAGGAGGCTAGATAGATTCATGGACGATAGATAATGGTAATAACTCTAGACAGGAGCTGCCATGCACAGGTCAACCGGCCTATTGTAGACTCCCTATTTTCTTATGTTACCACCACCTACTGCATTGAGGTAAGGGACGTGGTTGCCGGGAGTAGACTTGTGGAAGACCCTGGTGGAGGGGGCGTTCATCACCATGAAGGACAGGTTACACATCTGAACGTCGAAGGGATACATCTGGAGCTGGAAGTGGCAGGGCACCGTGGCTAGTACCCCCAAGTACACCTCTATGGCGTGGGTCATCCCGTCCGCCTGATGACCTGTAAGGCATCTCAGTCAACATCTATATATATGTTGATACAGTGTAATGGGTCATATTCTTGCACAGTATGGTATCCTGGCGTGTAAGAATGTGCCGTTAGTGAAGGTGTTATGAAGTGTAACTCATATAAGGAAAGGGCATGAGGGTGTCTGCTAATATTTCTCAACAACAAGCGTCCTCGTGTGTGTAAAGGAAAGCAACGCTCAACACAGTAATTGGTCTACACACATGATTAATGAGAAATAATTGAGTCATGCACAGTTGCACGATAACGACTGATTAATTTTGTATTTGAACATATTAGACTCAATTCGTAACAAAACAAACCTGAACTTTATTTGTACTCACCCATAAGAGGGTCATGCAAGGGCCGTTCTTCGGTCTGGTCGTTCTGGTAGGAGTAGCAGAACTTCTCGTAGTCGTTGGTGTCGAGGATGTTACCCTCCCCGCGGCCCGACACCCCCCTCACCCGCGGGGTCCACACCAGCTCACACGGGAAGTAGTTCTTAATCTCCGGCTTCAGGTTGAGGAATTTAACCCGCGGATCAAACCACGCTATAGTGATCCCCACGTCCATGCTCGCCTCGCCCACATTGGTGGTCACATCGCCCACATTGTACACGTCTATATGGTAATCTAGGTCTATAGGTACCACCTCTCCGGGTCGTGGGGGCGGGGCGTAGTAAGGGTCGTAGCCAAGTGGCCTCTCCACCACCTGACAGTTGGCCTCGTCTGAGCTGTCGCCACAGTGGACAATGTCGTCACAGCGAGAAGTGTGAGGGACACACTGGCCATCGTCACAAGCGAACTGGGTGGTACGACAGGTGGTGAGGGCCAGCACGACCTCCTGACCCTCGACACTCCACCTTTGACGACCCACAGGCACCGCTGCGTCTCTCAGTAGCCACTCCGTCTGGTGAAGCGTCGACCTCAGCACCCACCCGCCACCCTCCCGCATGATCGCTGACCCACCAAGTCCTCTGAACACCAGCGCCCCGGAGTCTGTGTCGATATAAAAGCTATGGTCGAAGAGTTTACCGTCGTGTCCATAAAGGTTGAACAAGATGGCGTCAGGCACCTCACACACAGAACACTCCATTCGTAGTTCACATGACGCCCATACAGGCCCACTCACACCCATGGCCGGACACTCATCTTCGGTGTTGACTTTTAACTCTGTTCCAGCGACTCTGTAACCTCCACCCAGCCAGGTCACCAAGCCGCCCGCGCCCACACAGGAGTCGTTGGCACCACGGGCGAGTTCCGTGGTTGTTGAGGACAAGTTTCCATCAGACACAAGGGCACCACCAAGGGCCTGACACATGGTCACATAACGGGCGTATATCCCCGCGGGCTGAACCACCACCACACGAGGGACGGAGGTACACAAATGATCTAACACGTAGGAGAGCAGTGAGGCGTTACCCTCAACAGACCATCTTAGATTCATCATCAGGTCGGGGTATACAACACGGGGGTGTCGGTGACAGCCAGAGACGCCGTAAAGCTCCTCTGTGCCCAATGTTCGCCTCCACAGTTTCATCCCAACCACCTCAGCCTCTAGAGTACCCCACTGCCCCGCCCCTCCCACACACACCCTCCCTGCCACCGTCTGCCCCCCCTCCTGTGGTCTGTCGTTCATCCACACTGTTTGTATCTCATCGCCGTCCTCTTCCTCTCTTGAACAGTTGAGTTCACCTTCTGGTATACACTGCATTAGACCATCTACCGGTCCTGACGTCCCTCCCACATCCTGTACCGCCGCCTCCCCTGTGGGCCTCCTCAGTGTGTTTCTCATTGACAGAAACTCTTCCTCACCATCGACGAAACATTCCACCTTTGAGAGACAAAAATTCCAACTGTTACTTAATACGAAATCCTAAACAGGATTATTTATAAGGCTTCTATGTTGGCTGTTACAAGTGTTATGTTCTTAAGAGAATCAACCAAAAGAAAGTATCGCAAATACTCTTAAGTAAGTTGTCTCATGTGTGGGTCATTTGGCAGCCTCGGTGTGCAGTTGACTTCGATTATTTTTACAAGTTTAAATATTTTAAATAGTTTGTTTGGCGACTGTTATGCGTCATAGGAATAGTGTGTTTTTAGTTGCTATTAAGAGCTCCACTATTTACCACCCCCTCCCCTTCCCTCCCCTCTGACTCATCGGTACTGGCGGGAGAACGAAGCATCTATTAACTGCTTTTCAGGACAATTTATTCTTATTGCCATCCCCGTTAACACACAGTGACAGACAAACAGATACCCTTAACTTTATTGTGATGATACATAGACCCCACAACAGGTAGGAGGTGGTAGTGAGTATAATTAGGTTCACCTGTTGGTTAGTGTGGTTGTACTGGAGACACAGATGGCGCCACACATACGGAGGAAACTTGACCTCGAAGAAGTAGCGGAGTACCTCGTCCCTCACCTGAACCTCCAGCGCCACCCCGAGACGTCTCACCTCTGTGGTTGTTGAGTGAGAGGAAACTTAATCTGATTTGTGTGTTAGTCAGCGCCTCTCATGGTAAAAACTATATCAACATTTATATCCTTTAATTCACATCTCTTACAAACATTTCAACAACAACGAACGCCATTCTCACTATTATGCATTACATTATGTGCTCTGGCGATCAATGATCCAGCAATGTCCACTAAGCATTGCTCAATAGTCATTTCCTTATAGATTTTGTAATATGGTGTACAAGAAGCCATTCCAGGTAGAGCGAGACCCCCCCCCCCCCCACGGTAGGTGAGGGAGGGAGAAGGTAAACAAACTTGTGTTATGACGGCACCCTCACGATAACACCTCCATTATTACAAAGTGTTTCTATTTCATATCATTTTATCGGTTTTCTTTGTTTGTTCTTTATTCATCTACTTATTATTATTTATTTTTCTTTATATTATTATTATTATCATTATTGTTGTTGTTATTATTATTATTATTATTATCATTATTGTTGTTGTTATTGTTATTATTTTTACTGTTTTTAATTATTCGTAGTATTAGTAACCTCAACAACTTGTTTTTAAACAGAGGACAGAGAGATAGACAGACATACAGACAGGTAAACATACAGACAGACAGTAAGGTGAGGGGTGAAGGGCCTTGGCTATTACCCCAATCACTCGAGAAATTATAGTGCTGACCACACGAGGACTCAGAGGCCGCACGAGGTCTCAAGGCCACACGGGGACTCAAGAGGCCAGCAGGAACTGTCAGTAAATGTGTGACGGTGTCTCTCTCTCTCTCTCTCAGGTATCTACAATGAGACTCACCCACGTTCATGCTGATCCCGCCAGAGTAGCGGAGCAGAGGTGACCTGACGTAGCTCTTGTGTATCCTGACGAAGGCACAGATGGTGAAAGAGGTCAAGCCAGAGGTCAGGTCATGTAGAGTTACTTCCCCTTCATCCTTAAAGGCACCAGAACCTCTCGTTGTAGTGAGTAGATTAGCGTCACCAAGATCACCATTTGGGGATAACTTCGAGATGCCGATGTCACCACCACCAGTGTTAGGGAGTTGAGAGGCACCAAGATCAGCACCAGCAGTAGCGTCACCACCACACACAAAGGAATGACCTGACCCCACCAAGACTCCCGTCAGTTCATCGTCTCCTGCAGGTTAAAACAACACTAAGTCGACAGCCTCAGCCACATACGTATTAAATGTGTTTACGTGGTGCAGAGATCAACCTCCTCACACACACACACACCAGGACTCTCAACAACACAACTCCTGACGAGGCTGTGGAAGAACTTCGAGCAGAGTGTCAATAAGGAAGTGATAAGTGTATTGAAGTTATATGACTTATTGTATTGATTAAGACAAGAAATTTAAGCACGTGTGTTTGTGTTTAACTCTTTGAGGAGGATTGAACCCTTTGAGGATGATGATTTAACCCTTTGAGGATGGTGATTTAACCCTTTGAGAACTATTATTTAACCCTTTGAGTACATTATCCCGCTCTTCTTAATAGTGCCATGAAAGACTCACCTGTAGGGAACATTGTCTCCCGGGGGAAGATTCCTGCCGCCCATGTTACCTCCATCATCATCAACACCACCCACGCCACCCACACCGCCCTCGTCAGCCATAACATCGTCAGTGTCGCAAACACTTCCACTATAAGACTCCTTGACACCTGTGTTGATTAAAGACGCCATGTATGTTGTAAATAATAATAATAATAATTCCTAATACACTGTTGTTACGTGGGAGGTTTCTGTAGGCTACGAGGACTTACAGGTACACAACAGCACCTCAGGTCATTCATCAAGCTCGTATATCGTTAGTGAAGGCATCCATATCTCTTCAACCTTCGAAACTGAGGCACAAGAGGACAAATGGGTCGCTTGAGAATTGTATTTCTCATCAAACTTTCGCTAAGATTAAAACTTTTGATACTTTTGATAGATATTTGTTTATGATAAAAGTAAGTAGTTTTTATTGATTTTTTTTTAGGTGAGGTACATCCACACATTGTCTTGTTACTGGTATTGGATAAAAACACTGATAAGGTAATAAGGGCACTCGTGTTTATATTAACCTCTGTGTCACTCATTACGTGTGTGTGAAGTTTACACCGGCACTAAACACTTAAGTGAAACAATCAAACCACTTCACTTACCTTAAATAAAGTGTCTAAGTAAAAAACGACACTTAAAAATTTCCATTAAATGAGTTTTAGAAAATGAACACCTATAGAAATTTAAAGGTCAAGAAATAGTATACATACCTGGGTGTGTGGCAGGTGCGTGGCGTTCGGGTGGCAAGGGAAGAATGCTGGGTGTACTTCTCTGTCCACCCAATATGTAGTGGAACCTCGCCACCCAAACACATTATTGATCGAAATCGATGTCTGTCAGGGCAGTGTATGGCGGGCCACCTATGCTGATTTGGGGGTTATTTTTCGTCGGGATTGTTTGTGGGAGTTGTTTAGTCTCTGTTAGTGGTTGTTTAAATTGTTGTTGTTTATTTAAATTGATATCTGGTATAAAATTTTTATGTGTTGTCGGAAGTTATGGAATTATTCATATTAATGTGTGTGTTTGCTTGCTTGTGTAATAATAATAATAATAATAATTAACGGTTTATTGAAAAGTTCTGCAGCCCGAAGGCTGAAAATATACATTGGACATAAATGACTTATTACATACATTGGTGGTTTAACAAAAGCCTTCATTAGAGAAAGGTAAAGGAACATACAGTGAACATACAGATTAATGTAGGATTGTACGTGTTGAACAGCAAATACGTAGTGTAGTAACTCCCTCCCAGATGGTGTTAGGAGGGACCTCACGTGGTGTAGTAATTCCCTCACAGATGGTGTTATGGGGGACCTCACGTGGTGTAATTACCTCACAGATGGTGTTATGAGGGTCCTCACGTGGTGTAGTAATTCCCTCACAGATGGTGTTATTAGGGACCTGACGTGGTGTGGTAATTCCCTCACAGATGGTGTTATGAGGGACCTGACGTGGTGTAGTAATTCCCTCACAGTTGGTGTTATGAGGGGGCCTCACGTGGTGTAGTAATTCCTTCACAGATGGTGTTATGAGGGTCCTCACGTGGTGTAGTAATTCCCTCACAGATGGTGTGATGAGGACTTGACGTGGTGTAGCAATTCCCTCACATATGGTGTTATGTGTGTGTGTCTGTCTGTCTGTCTGTCTGTCTGTCTCGCTCAGGATCCCAATGTGTTTTGTCGATAATCATTTTTCCGATCCAGTTCTTACATCACAAAACCAAAAAATGATACAATTCATAAAAGGTCAAATATCTATGACCAAAACTAAACTAAAAACCTTTAAAGCCAAATTAAATTTTTGTTGTGAAGAGATGTTTTAAAATGACTTAAGTTCTTGTGAAATACGAGTCTTGGGATAATTTTACTATAACTACATTAAACTGGGTCATTCTCTCGTTACGTCGCAAACTAAAGTAACGATAGAAATAACGAGATGTTTTATTAGAAAGTAACAAAGTAGGAATGACGATTGTAAACACTGGGTCACTCTGCAGTATAAGGATGTGTGACCTGGCTATGTGTATTAGGGTAACAATGTCAACAGTTGTTCTCACGCGTTTACAATCAAGATCTTGCAACTGGTGTGACTTTCTGTAATCTTGACACATTCTTAACGAGTCCAGACGTATTATTGGTGATGTGTGTGACGTCAGATACACTGTGTGGTGGTATGGTTAGGTTAGGTGTGTGGTGGTGAGGTTAGGCTAGGCTAGGTTAGATGTGTGGGGGTGAGGTTAGGCTAGGTTAGATGTGTGGGGGTGAGGTTAGGCTAGGCTAGGTTAGATGTGTGGGGGGAGGTGTAGGTTAGATGGGGTGAGGGGGGTGAGTAGGCTAGGTTAGATGTGTGGGGGTGAGGTTAGGCTAGGTTAGATGTGTGGGGGTGAGGTTAGGCTAGGCTAGGTTAGATGTGTGGGGGTGAGGTTAGGTTAAGTTAGATGTGTGGGGTGAGGTTAGGCTAGGTTAGATGTGTGGGGGGAGGTTAGCTAGGCTAGGTTAGATGTGGGGTGAGGCTAGGCTAGGCTAGGTTAGATGAGGTCGTAAGGTTAGTTAAGTTAGGTTAAACGTGTGTTCGCGAGGTCTAGTATTGTTGCTCCGTTCTTCTTGCTGTTTGTGTGGTCAGGCATTGTCTTGCATCACGGCTCAAACATCTCAAAAGACACAAAATTAACCTAACCTAACCTAATGGACCAACATTCCCTTAAGGTTTGGTTAAATTACCTGCATGGCGAATTACTGAGCTGCGTGACATACCAACCAAAAACAACAGTGGATGAAATAACAGATGAGAAATGCTGTTGTTTATCTCTAGCTGCCTCATTAACCTGGCTCCTGGAAATCATTAGTTTATTTCACCTGATGATTAAACACCTGTATTATTGTTTTATATTATTTTGTTATGTTGTGTTGTGTTATTATGTTGTATTTATGGTATGTTTATGTTGTATTTATGTTGTATTTATGTTATGGTTATGTTATGTTTTTATGTTATGCTATTTTGTACGTCATTTTGGTGATCAAGTTTGTGTGGTGTGGTTTAAGCAATCAAATTGGACACGTTCTCACATCTTCTGTAAATATGATTGATATTGAGGAAACGAGGGAGATATCTGGCGAGCGTGGCTTGGGAGATGTCTCGTGGGCGTGATCTCTTGAACGTGGCGTGGGAGATGTCAACAAGTTTAGGGAAAGGTTAGGTCACATCAGGTGACACCAGGTCACAGAGGCGAACCACCTAACACGTCAACACAATAATGAGGTCAGTAGATCAGCTTAGAAGAAGGGGGGTAATAAAAAGGAGGGAAGGAAGAGGCAGCGGAAAGGAAAAAGTGAAAGGGAGGAGAGGGAGGGGTGGGGAAAGATCATAGGAACCTGTTGAATAAGACACATTGCAGTAACTTCTAA